ATTTCTTAGAAATATATTTTACCTAGGTGACGAGGATCACTCAGTCGCTTTGTGTCAAACTCAAATGCAGTTACGGGGTTTTTGACCAGTGAATGTGTGCAAATGTGCATTTTGTCCGTCATTAAAACGGCGGCGTTACATTTTCATCACCAGGTGTTTGTTGTAGCTATATGGGCGCGGTATATGGGCACTCAGTTTCAAATACATAAATTGAGCCTTTATAGACAGTGTTTCTTGCGTGTACTTATTCAAGTACGCTGAATACTTAAAAACGCTGTACTTATTCAAACAACAAGATCGTTATTTGTGGAGTTATGAGGTTTACTGACAGTTTGAGGGGATCCAACAAGATTTAGTCACAAGCTCTTTTTAATACCTTTCATTAGCTAAATATTTGTAAAGCAGACAGACAGATGTAAAGGGTGACCAATATCATTGATTTAGCTAAATATTTGTAAAGCAGACAGACAGATGTAAAGGGTGACCAATATATCATTGATTTATTGAAGCAAAAAAAAAAAACATCACCAAAAAAAGGGCACTTCGGAGTGTAAGGGCAAAAAGGGCATGTGCTCTGCACAGGTTGAGCCCTACCTGTGCACGTGCCTGACTGCAGTACTATCAGCAAAATATGTTTCAGTAGGAGTGGTTAGAGATAAAGGGCTTTTTTACCATCAAGAACTGCTGCTTGTAGACCTTATGCTCCACAGAAACAAGCAAAGAGTCATCTTTAGAATGTTATTTTGAACTTGTTTTGCAGTAGCTCTGCATATATCTACAACATTGCTGTCGAAGAGTTTTAGCAGGTGAAGTGGACTTACAGTACTTACTGTAGTGTTAACAAAAGTTATCATAAGCACTAAAATCTTTGAAATCGATGTCAAAACAAATGTCCGGGAAGACCGGGAAGATTTTAAAACAACCAGTTCATACAAAAATCCATAACATCTTACCTCCATGTTGTGAAAATATAAACTGAAAACAAGACAATGAGTGCAGTGCTGAAAAGGGGTGGGGCTACATAAGGTTTATATACATTTCCTGTATAATGAAAAAAGTGCTAAGCTTAAAAGGCACAATAATAGGCACTGAGCTTGTAGATAGAAGGCATGCAGACAAAGTTGTTTGGCTGGTGAAGGAGACTAATAAGGCACATTAGGAGAGGATTCTTTAGTGCTTTGATTTGGATCATAAACTGGTGCAGAAGGAGCCGGATGGAAACCAGGCTGGATGGCATGTGGATTTGGATAGACCCCTGCAGCAGCTCCTGGATAGGGCAGCACTGTAGGGTCGTACAGATTGGGGTAAAGTCCTGCAGGTGGAGGAGGTAGTTCACCAGGAATAGGCACAAGGTTAGGCTGAGGTGGTGGATATGGCTGGAATCCTCTAGGTGGGCCTTGCCATGGAGGACACTGTTGTTTAGCTGGAAGAATGACCACAGGAAATTTGACTTCTGGATCTGATGCAAAAGACACATCCAGATACACCTGAAAGATAATCATGTTTTTGCTTTACTCTATGATAGAAAGTCTTGTTAAGCTGAACTATTGCTTTAAATATGGCAATACTACAGAAGACAAAATAGCACCTTGAGTTCATACTGCACTTTTAGAATTCTGCAGTTTTCAATGGTGACCGTCAGGTCACGTGGAAGGGTCATGTCCACTATGAATTTTGACTTTTCTCCAGAAGGGATGTGATCTCTAGTCTCTTTGACTATATCCTTATATGCTCTATTAGTGCTCTTGCCAGCGATGAACGTCTGTTGCTGCTTGAGGCCGTACTTTAGCTTGACGTCACGAGATGAAGAGTTGTCAATGTCAACAAAAACTCTGATTGTTTCACCTGCAAAAATGTTAAGAATTAGAGACAACATGCATCAATAACTACAAAATCAAAGTAACAAACTGACTATAGCCGGATGTCCATCCAAGTTGCAAATTTAATTTGTGTAAAAACAATTTACAGATAAAGCAGCGTTTCCATCCAGTGTGTTTAGGAGAACACATGTAGTTACATCAGAAGGAATTGAAGTCGAATAATTTTGATGTTAGTCTTTGACTTGAGATTTTGAGATGCTATACGAAGCTCTGCTGTTATTTTCTTCTCTAAGCAAATTTAGTACTAGGACTTTTTTTAATGCAGATTAATCAGTCTACTCCGCAAATGTATTGACCTCAAGCATATTTTTTATATGTGAATTTTGAATTGTATGTGAAGTAGATTTACATGTTCCTTGGTAACATTCTGAATTTTTATACAATATCTTACAATGTGCATAAAAATATGCTGATGGAAACCCGACAATTTACACTGCAGGCTAGTGTCTTCAGTTTAGTCAGCTTTGAAAGAGACGCTTGAGAGCTAAACATGTGACATGATCACCTTGCATATAGCCAGTTTTTTCAGCTTTTACATTCATTGACATTTTTCCTGAGCCAAAAAGTTTAATCTTCTTGTCTTGTGTGCCAGATTGTGGTTGCTGTATGAAAAAAACAACATTCTAAATTGAGTGAACTAAAATTCACACTATATTTCATAAATCACAAACATTGGTTTAAAATCACATTACTTGAGTTCTGATGACGGTTTATAAAACGGATAGTTCCATTATTTGATAACGATTGGTTGAGCTGTGTTCAAAGCCATTGTAAATTACTCTAGGAACACATACCTGTTACATAAGTATTACTGTGCCACAGCATCTATGAGTTGCTTGGCAAACATTCTGCTATCAGAATTACATTGCTTGGGGGATTAATAATATTTATTATGTTTTAATAATTATAATAATTGCTGCTGGTTTAGATTATGAAAAAAAAACCATTAACAACACCCATTAGCTGTTCTAAATGCACTGTAAATGCATGGCTTCTTGGGGCTTAATGCTTTAATACGTGGTTACATCATCTCTCTATTTATGTGAATTGATAGATGAGTGCTAAATAGTGAAATATGGTATTATAATTCATACCAGTAAATGATCATTGCTCCCATCATTTCTCAGCACAAAGTTTAATTCTGTATGTGTAGAAGATGTTGACTTCCAAGGCCTGCTCAGTTTTACTGTCAAGACATACTTAACCCAGCCATGAAATCCTTTAAAAGATGGAGGCATATTTCTGAAATGATGGAAAAATAAAACTCTTTAGTTTCTGACAAGCATTACAATATGTCATATAAACAGTATATCTTATGCATAAATGTGCATTACACATCAGCAAAATGTATGTATATATTAATATGATTGATATGTTTTTTTCAAGGATGATAATTTGTGTTAATATTGTAACTGAACTGGAAGGAAGTAAAATGCGGCACACTCTTATGTTCTTGCTGATTCACTTATTTGTTCTGTAAATTGTGTTCATAGGCTGTGAATTACACCTGCTGAATATTTTTTCACTGTGCACATATTTACACAATAAGGAACAACAACAATTGAAGATGTATTTTGAAAAGCACATCAGTAGTATCACTCACTGTTGAGGCAGCTGAAATCTGAATGGAAAAACATGACTTCCTGGCCTAATCACTGGTCCATCTGATGAACAATAAGGTTAATATGGGTTATGTAATATGGGTTACAATAGTTTTTCAACAAGCATATTTAGTTTACTATCATCAAACAATCATTTCTGGTTTAATGTAAATTATGAAAAAAAAAAGTTTTACGTAATTTATTTAATTTTATGCTATTTACTTAGTGCAAGGTATAGGTTATGAAACCCATTTACTTACAAGTCTCTCCATCTACAAGAGTTGTATTCTTTTCACTTTCACCTGCAGACGTTACAGCAAGAAATAAAAGTATTACACAATTTGGAATAAAAATTTGATATTCTTATATATTTGAAGTTTTCTAATGTGCAACCTCGCCTTTCTTTGAGCACTCTTGAATGAAGTATTGCTTTAGTTTGAAGTATCTCTCATGGTCGCTATAGGTTGTTTCGTCGTCACCTGATCCTTCAGTCCAGCTCACATTTGCGTCCCCGGTCAGCTTCACAAAAAAGCTGTCCACCTTTATTTCTTTGGTTACCTCCAAAACAACTCGCCCCTCTACAGTATCCCCACTAGTAAAAGTATTGCTTTCATTAATCGGGTCGTAGTGAAGACTGAACTCTTTGATGGATTTTGACATTTTAGTTTTTATGTCTGTACACTACACATTCAAATCCAGCGTAGCTGTGAGGCTCCGCTCGCTTGCCTGGCTAAAGCAGGATTGTCTTCTTCTCCTTCTCATGATGTTTAATGGCGGTTGGCAAACCAGCTTTTGGTGCATATTCCGCCACCTACTGGGATGGAGTGTGAGGCGATGATATCAAGGGAAATGCTAACTACAAAAAAAAAAAAACCTATCTATATTTTATTATATAAATTTGTTATTTTCAGAAAATTAATAAGAGCTTTATAACCTTTATGAGAACTGTTTAACACATTCTGTAATGTCATAGAATCAATGCCGGCAGATTTTAATTCCTCTTTTAACTGTATTCTTTCCCTTTCATATGCCCCACAGTTAATCAGCACATGCTCTAGGGCTAGGCTACAGTTTCGGGAAGTCCACAATGATTACATTGACCAGATTCATGTCTTCCTATCATCTGGAGTGATTTATTAAGAGTAGAGTGTCCAATTCTCAATCGCGATATAACTGTATCATCCCTTCTATTACCATAAGCAGTTCTTACATGTCCTACTTGTTTATTTATATTATACAAATGTCGCCCTTTGTTACCTTTATCCCATCTCTCTTGCCATATCTTTCTGACAGCTACTTTAATTAAACCTTTAATTTCAGATTTAGTCAAGGGTATATGTATGTCAATATTTGTGTGCTTAAGAGCCTGTTTCACTGTCTTGTCTACCTCCTCATTTCTTCCACCCACTGTAAAGCTATCTGAATAGCGATCATCTCTGCTACATAAACTGATATATTATTAGAAGTTCTTTTTGCAGATTTATATTTAAAGTGGGGAATATACAGTACATGGCAGCACTTGTACGCCCAGTTTCTGGGTCTTTAGAACCGTCTGTATAAATGTGTAAAAATTGAAAGTAATAACTGTCTAAATGCTGCTGCACTATTGTCTCTTTTGGAACATATTTCTTGTTTTCATTTATTAAATTAAATATTTGCAAATCAACTGTTGGCATAGAAAAAAACCAAGGTAGATATACTGGCAGAGCCACCGTGGGGCTAATATCGATATTACTGATATCTATTTGTTGAGCCTGCTACTGTCCAGCCAAAACTATTCATATGTCTACTCTTATTCCCAGCAGCTCTCCAATATTTTTTTTTACTGCATGCTTGGTAAAATGACCTTTAATACCAGTCCAGTATACCATTTTAAGCTGAATTTCACGAATGTCTAGTGGTGTTTCACCCATTTCTACCTGCAAAGCTGTCACAGGAGAGGATCTAACAACATATTCTAAGGGCTTGGTTTTGAATCACCTCTATCCTAGTTAATAATGAGGTTGATGCTGAGCCATATACTATTCTACAATAATCAGTTATTATTTTATCAATGTTACATTGCGTAACATTAGCTGTTCGATTTTTTTTTTTATATTGTGCCTTGAGCATGTGAATTTGGGTCTGATAGAGGTCTACTACATAATTTGCCATCAAGTTCAAGTCTTGTTAGGCTGTTACTGATTGTATTTGAGTGTAATTTCTGTTTTCTGTCACCAGAGGTCTTCATTTACAGACATGCATGCTTATCAAATGGTTTTCATCTGTTGACATCGAAACAGGGAGTTTGTGTGGGCTTTAGTTGTGCTTAAAGTAAAATAATATAAAAGTAGCAATATGACACAACTGTTTTTCCCTAACAAATGTAAAAATTGTATGATAACAGTACACACCCCTTTTTAAACCTCTAGGGTTCCATGTGACTATTGTTTGTGTATCTTGAGCATAGTATCATGTGACACTGGAGTAATGACTCTTGAAATAATAATAATAAAAAAAACAATAATGATTCACAATATTATTATATTTTAAATAATATTTTAAATTATGTATTTTTTACTGTATTTTTTAACAGATATGCAGCTTTTGTAAGCATAAGAAACTTCTTTCAAAAACATAAAAAAATTATTACTGACCCCAAACTTTTGAACTGTAGTGCACTGTATGTAATACAAGCAAGTTTAGCTTATGACCAAGTTACAGGTCATAATAGTTTTGCTCCTGGATCTCAGGAAACTGTTGCGTATAATGTTTGTTCTTCTACATGAATTGCATCCTTGCCCAGAGCAAAGAGAGACAGCTCTGGTCCTGAGCAGTCTTTATTAAGATTAATGAACAGTTTGGCATTTTCAGTCCTCTTCATGGAATCAATGAATGTAATACTCAGCGAGTCAATGGGGAGCAAACACACACACATACTATGATTTGCCAGAGGGTGCGCGTTAAATGTCCAAGCAGTAATCAATGCGGAGAAATTAGCTATTGATTGTGTATAGTTTTGTAATAGGTTACCTATGGGTTTGCTCTTTTAGAAAATTCCAATATTCCTCTCCCTGGGAATAAAGGCATTATAACTTTGTCTAGCCTTGACTGAGAGTGTGAACGCGGAAGAGAGTCGGCTTTTCAGGGTCAAACTCTAATTAGTATAAAGGTCAAACTGGAAATAAACAGGGTGCTAAAAAATAATGATGAACTTGGCATCAGAAGCAAAGTTCATTAAGAGCTGTGAGGGAATGCTACTTCTGTATTGGCTTTTCCATGAATATGATCTACAATGGATTCTCTCTTGTAAAACTCAACATTTTCTCTCCCGTGTCTGTGATGTAGAAGTCAAAAAGATATTGTAATGAGATTTAATAAAGTAGGTACAGATTGTGACATTTAACTGGAGGAATACATACATACATAGCTATAAAAAACTTGTAGTTGTCATCACATTTCAGTGATTGATTGATTGAGTCAATGATATAAGACTTTTTTTGTCTGGATCTGTTAGTTTATTATGAAATACAATACATTAAAAATAACCATTCATGCACACAATGACCTGGATACACTTTCTAAAATAAGCATCACTTAAATTGTCAAATTTAAGTATTTTGGATTTTTTTTTTGTGCTACATTAAGTTAAAAATGTCAGGGTCATACAATTGTTGTACATTTAAAGAATTAAATCCTTGAAAAGAAAATCAAATTCACTAGTTTTGGGCAAAATATTATTATAATTATTATTATTGTTGTTGGTATTTAAATAAATAAATACATACATACATAAATTAGTGCTGTCAAATGATTAATCGCATCCAAAATAAGTTTTTGTTTACATAATATATGAGTGTGTACTGTGTATATTTATTATGTATATATAAAAACAAACACATACATGTAGACTTTTATTTTGGATGCGATTAATCGCGATTAATCGTTTGACAGCACTAAAATAAATAAATAAATACGTAACATACATACATAAAATACACAGCTGTTTCACTTCTTATTAATATTTTAAATAAGTCTGTCCACCAAATCTAAGTAACAACATGCAGAAAAAAAAAACAGTAAATGACATTATAGAAAGGTGAACCTTTTAATTGTGGATAATTAATCATCCATATAAATAATCAGATTATTTGTAAAAAACAAAAAAACATTTACTTTGAAAATACAAGGTGTAAGGAAAAATGTATTATTTTTTCTTTGATGGTTACATCCCATGGCATTTTTAATCACTAAATTGAAAATGTCCTTAAAAATGGTATAAAATCCCCCAATTTGGCACAGGTGTAACCCGTTTAGCTAATCATCCTAACTAGCACAATATGTATATATACACAGCCTACTTACCTCTATTCTACTATGACAGTTTTCCAGCATCCCTCCTCCACCCCAACTCCTCACTCTTAATCCATTCTCATCCCATACTATAGTATAGAGATAGGGGGAGTTCTCTGGGTTCTGGCTATATTCCGGTCTCGGAGCCCTTCCCCAGGACAGCACGCCAAAATATGCTTACTATTTGCTCAATCAGATTATATGTAAGGGTGAACTCGTGAAACTGCTTTTATTCAAACAACTAGGCCTGAGTCTGAGATGGCGGTAAGGAGTGGCATTTCCATTTGGCCTAAAGGAATTACTCCATAATTTACTGGTCCATTTGATAGAAATGCTGTTCCTCTGGAAGACTGAGTCCCCAGTACAAAATCTACGGATTGTTGTAAATCAAGCGATAGATAAGTCTCTCCACATCCTCTTAATGCTGGGTCCCTACCATAAGATCATTATAGTAAAAAAGTGACAAATTTGATTGATTAAAATGGCACCAGGCGACTTCGGCTAAACCACGCTAAGTGATGTGTCACTGCAGTTTCCGCATAATATTTCTGTCAAGACAATGATGGTAAAAAGCGTTGTTGGCGTGTGATATCTGACAACACAAGCCATCTGCCTGGATATGCAGCTAGATTTATGACAAGGTTTTAGTGGGCTGTGAAGGAGTACAGAGAGAAAAGTAGTCGTTTTTGTGCATTGTCACTTTTTAAATGACCGTAAATTCTGTTAAGGGGACACTTAAGCAGCTTGACAAACTGTCGTAAAGGTATGTACCATGCTAGTTAGCTCTGGCCCTCACGTCTGACATGGTCTCTTAAGTGTTTATGCTCTGCGCAGTTAAAAGATGCACTAGATTTTCCGTATGTTAATATGGAATACATTGACTTTATCTTCTGTTTATTACCACCAAAATAAAGAGTGATCCACAACCAGCAGCGGCCAAATCAAATCCTCCCTATTGATCAAGACTGCTAAAATAATAAAATACTTCAATGAAAACTGAGTCTTGTGCATTTAATATTTTTATTTGTTATTGTATTTGTTATTTTATTTTATATTTGATAATAATTTAGTAAGTTACTCTAGCTGTAACAACAACAACAATAATAATAATTATTATTTACTAAAATATGTTCCAATGTCAATAATAATAATAATTATTATTATTGCTCCACTGAATACACAGAATTAATATTGTGTTAAAAATATTGTTGAATGCGATTCACCCTTGCTAGCAAACATGTATGTAGTACATTTTGTCAATGAATAATTAAATAGTTACACTTACATTTTTATCTGTTTAGCTATTCATTATTGTAACAATGTGGTGTGTATATTTTTACTTTATTACCGAGCACAATCATCTTTTTTTTATTATTATTATGATTATTATTTA